GCGGTTACACCGTCATTTCATCTCTCTCGTGGTTACACCGCCATTTCATCTCTCTCGCGGTTACACCGCCATTTCATCTCTCTCGAGAAATTTCATATCAAAAGCTTCAACACATTAGCCGGATTTGAAGTCCGGTCAACCTTGTCCGGATTTGAAGTCCGGTACTTAGAGTAGAAAAAGATAAATCGGACATGGCTTGAGCGATTTAGCTCTTAATCCGGTTAACACTTGAGCGGTTTAAGAAAATATCCGAACAACACTTGGGCGGTTTAAGAATAAACCGGCCAACACTTGGGCAGTTTAAGAAGATATCCGGACAACACTTGGGCGGTTTAAGAATAAACCGGTCAACACTTGGGCGGTTTAAGAAGATATTCAGACAACACTTGGGCAGTTTAAGAATAAACCGGTCAACACTTAGGCGGTTTAGATGAAATCCGAATAATATATGAAACATAATAAACCGTTTCAAACAATTWCAATTGTTATACCACAATTGATACATCAAAGCATAAAACACTCACCTTATAAAAATGATCGGATTAAGTCTGTTATTTATCTTCAGCCTTTTCTCTCAATATGCAGAAAAATTCTCAAAAACAGCCTCCTCTTCTTTTAACATACACTTGCTATATGGCCGCCCTTCAAAAGTCGGCTAACACACACAAAATCTCACAATCCATCATACACACAAATATATATATATATATATATATATATATAATCCAAAATCTTAACTCAAAACCTAAATATTACAACACATGATTTCAGAAGATTTTTCTCTGTCAGGAGTAACAATCATAGGTGCAGTAACCAAAGTTTTTTTCAAAGTTTGGAATGCATTTCTACATTCCTTATTAAAATCAAACTTTTAGTCATTCTAAAGTAATAAACACATAGGTTTTGAGATTTTTGAAAAATCTTTGATAAATCTTCTATAAAAACCTGCATGTCCGAGAAAACTTCTGATAACTTTGATAGTGGTTGGTTCAGGTAATGTTTCAATCACCTCAAGATTAGCTTTATTAACCTCAAATCCTCTTTTTGAAATTAAGTGACGAAGAACAATACCTTCTGTTACCATGAAATGACATTTTTACCAGTTTAAAACTAAATCAGTTGCTTCACACCTTTCAAGACTCTTTTCAAGATTTTGTAAATATTCATCATATGATGTACCATAAACAGAAAAAAAAAAATCATCCACAAAGATTTCCATGGAAGTTTTAAGCATGTTGAAAATTATGGACATCATACATCTTTGAGAAGTAGTAGGAGCATTACAAAGACCAAATGATATTCTTTTGAAAGCAAAGGTACCATAGGGACAGGTAATAGTGGTCTTTTCTTGGTACTCTGGTGCTATTGCAATCTGGTTGTAACCTGAGTAGCCATCTAAGAAACAATAAAACTCCTTTCCTACAAGTCTGTTTAACATTTGACCTATGAAAGGTAAAGGAAAATGGTTTTTCTGGGTAGCCTTATTAAATCTACGGTAGTCCATACAAATCCTCCATCCAAACATTACTCTTGTGGGAATGAGCTCATCTTTCTCATTTGAGACTATAGTGACACCTCCCTTTTTAGGGACACACTGTGTAGGGCTTACCCATGAGCTATTTGCAATTAGGTAGATTATCCCAACATCTAACCATTTTAAAATCTCCTTTTTCACAACTTCCTTCATGATAAGATTTAACCTTCTTTGGGGTTCTACGAAAGTGAACTTTTTGTCATCTAAAATGATTTTAAGCTGACAAATGGAAAGACTGATACCCTTAAGGTCAGAAATACTCCATCATATATCCTTGGAGTGCAACTTCAACATACTTACAAGCTTTTCTTCCTAATGTTTTTATAGGGTAGATGAAATAATGACAGACAATTTGCCTTATTCTCCTAGAAATGCATACTTCAGATGTGATTAGAGTTGTTTTAACTCCAGGTCAGGTGGTGACTCGATGGATGTGGTGTGGGTCCTCTTATATTCACCTTTCAATAGTTCAAAGGCTGCAACATGCTGTAGTATGTCTATCTCACTCTCCTCTCTAAATTCTATGTCGTCATCAACTTCAGTCTTTCTTAAATCTAACATTGTTTCAATCCCCTCTCTTTGGCACAAAGACTCAAGAATACTCAATGTAGAACACTCCCATCTTTCTTTAGGATATATCATTGAATTAAACACATTAAAAGTGACATTTTGCTTATTCACTCTCATGGTCAACTCACCATTTTGCACAACTATCAGAGTTTTTTGGGTAGCCAAAAATGGTCTTCCTGAGATGATTGGAATGTCTTTATCTGCCTCAAAATCAAGAATAATTAAGTCAACAGGAAAATGAATTTATCCACCTGGACTAACACATCCTCAATTTTCCCTTTCGGGTGAGCTATGGACTTGTCAGCTAACTGAAAGGTGATTGTGGTTGGTCTAGCTTCTCCAATGCCTAAGGTGTTGAAAACAGATAATGACATAAGGTTAATGCTAGCTCCTAGATCACACAAGGCCTTTCCTATCTCTTTTCCACTTATTGAAAAGGGAATGGTAAAACTCCCTAGATCTTTAAGCTTAGGGGGATTTTGTTTGAAATGAGGGCACTACAACCTTCTGTTAAGGCAACAGTTTCATATTCACTCAACTTATTTTTCTTGCTTAAAATGTCCTTGAGAAATTTTGCATAACTTGACATTTGTTCAATAGCTTCAACTAACATAATGTTGATATGCAGCTGTTTGAACACATCAATGAACTTTTTGAATTGTAGCTCCTCTTTTTGATTTCTTAATCTTTGTGAAAAAGGTACATAAGGATGAATAAGAGCTACAATGGCTTTCCTAGGGGACTGGTCTAAAGCTGCTTGAGTGTTGGTTGGTTTGACTATGGGAGTGACAGGTGATGTGACAGGAGTGTCAGTGTTGGTAAAAAATGTTGAAGTTTCATTCTAAAATGACACCTTCTTTTTTCCCTCATTTGGAAATAATAAGGGGAAGTCAACTTTCTTAGGGGGTGTCCCTATGTCTACTGACTATCCCTTATTTTTCAAAATAGGTGTGGCAACATTCAGTGTGGGTGTTGTGACATCATTTTCAGTTGGTGCTTTGGATGACTCAACAGTATTTTTCAAAGGTTCACTTTCTATTAATTCCTTTCCACTCCTTAAAGTCATTACCTTCACATGTTCCTTCATTTTAGGCCTTAGGGTCTCTATATCACTAGGAAGGGTACCTACAGGTCTATTCCTTATTTCAAGTGCAAGTTGACTGATTTGTATCTCTAGTGATCTTATTGTAGCATTATAATGGTTCATGGATGAGTTGGTTTGGGTTATGAACCCTCTCAAAACTGCTTCCAATGAAGTAGATGACTCAGCTTGTTGGTTAGACTTATTATGAAAAGATGATGGACTTGGTTGTTGATGAAAATTTTGTTGGTGAGAGTTTTGAAACCGACTTTGGTACTAGTGTTGAGGTTGTTGTGGTGGTTGAAAATTAGTGGTCCCTTGTGGTTTGTTCATTGGTGGGTTTAAAGCAGGACTGTTTCATGAAAAATTTAGGTGTTGTCTCCACCAAACATTGTATGTTTGAGAAAATGGTCCTGTTTTGTTCTGATTTCCCACATAATTTGTTGATTCTTAGTTGGATGGACAATATTCAAAGTAATGTCCCTCACCACAGTACACACATTGTACTGCTCAACAGTTAGAGTGCATGTTGTGGCGACAGATTGTGCTTCTTGACCGGTTGTTAAATTTTTAAATAAATTGTCATTGCAGTCATTTGTGTCGTTAATATCGTAAAAACATCTACATCAAGAATTCCAGATGTCTTGCATGGTATTAATGCACGTGGATCGGCCCAATGACCATTGTTGTTGGAAATCTTTTTTCCAGAATATCATATCCATCATTGTAACTACTGGCGGTGAAAGCTCTTCCTGCAGTAACATCGAGCATTTGTCTTGCAGTGGTATTTAAACCATTGTAAAACGTCTCAATCTGTATACAGTAAGGAATGTCATGGTGAAGGCATTTTCTCAAAAGCTCTTTAAATCTTTCCCAAGTAATCGAAACTGCCTCATCGTCCTTTTGTTTAAAAAGACAAATTTCGTTTATGGACTTCGCGTTCCGAGTTAGGAAAATATATTTTTAATTTTTTTCCTGCAATACTGTTCCAAGACTCGACTGATTTGTTTGGCAATGAATTAAACCAAAACTTTGCCCTATCCCTTAAAGAAAAATGAAATAATACAAGTCTTAAAGCATATTCAGGTACTCAGTGAGTCGGAAAGTGTCAGTTACTTTCAAAAAAGATTTTAATTGCGAGTGTGGATCCTCATATGACAAACCGCTGAACTGGCCATTGGTTTGCAACATATTAAACATCACTAGTTTTAGTTCAAATAGAAGGGCGTCTATTTTTGCTCTAGCTTTTCCTGAGTTCAATTGATCAAAAACAGGTTTGGCATTGTCCATAATTCTTCCATCTTTGGAATTTGCCAGCTTGAAGATTTTTTCAGCGTCAGTTAGGGGAGATTGATCTTCAACTAGTTCAGCCATTTTGGAAGAGGTTAAAGTAGTTAATGCTCTTTGCACTCTTCTTCTTTGTCTAAAAGTCTTTTCAATGTCAGGATCAAATTTAAAAATCTCCCCATGTGGTAGCCTTGACATGCACCACACAAAAACTAGTGACAAAGTGGTAGAAAAATCAGATCTTTTAATTTACTTATTAAAACCTTTAGCTTTGTCTTAGTTCCTGACAACGACGCCAAAAACTTGTTGCGAGATTTATACGAAGATAAAATCTCTCAGACTGTGTGCAAATGGAGACCCATACAAATATACACGTATCAACCCACTGTCGTCTTTTACAAGTAATTAAAACGGTAAAATACCGAATATCGATCCACGGGGAAAAATGTGTTAAAGGTTTTAGATAAAGTCCAAAAAAAGATTAGATTTCAGATGACGAGTTCGAAGAATTGTTTTTGGTTTGACAACTTGAAACTAAATGATGCAAATAATTAATTTAAAAGAAAACAAGAGTGTAGGGATTAATTAAGATTTTTGGACAAATAAATTAGATAGAACTTTGTAGATAATAACTTATCTTTAACCAACCATCAACTTGTGTAAGTTACTCTCTCGAGGTTGAAAAAGGGCACTTATCCAAGGACCAATTCTAATGTTTCCAAAATAAAACCAGTTCTGGCAATGGCACAATCTATCCCTTGTATAAGCTGTACGGAATGAAAACAACTCTCCTTGATTCTAAGTAACTCTCTCGAGTATACTTCCGTATTATTCAAGTTGATGTGTTCGGGATGGCTTATCTCTAAGTCTATCAAACTGTTTACATTTTTCTACAAAAATCAACTTGTCAAGAGAGATGTAAGTTTTATCAATATAACGTGTAACAACCCACATTTCTATCCAACACAAAATCCAATATAGTCATGCATAACTTTATCTAACACTTATTATAATCTGAAACATAGTATTGTTTACAAAGTATAGGAAAATATGGGTTAACAAAAACTTTGTCTAATATAATACACATACAGAAATATCACTGTATTAAGTTTTTCCTTGCCTTTGTCTTGTGATGAAAGATGACCTGCAAAATAGATTAGTCCAACAATTGAGCGTTAGACCAAAAGGTCTAGTGAGTGTAACATTCTCATATATACAACATATATTTCAAAATCCAAGATTATAATAAATTTGGACATTTATATGAATTTCATCTGTTTATCTCTCGCGATTACACCGCCATTTCCTTTCTCTCTCGGTTACACCGCCATTTCCTCTCTTTCTCTCTCTCTTTCGGTTACACTGTCATTTCCTCTCTCTCTCTCTCTCTCGCGGTTACGCTATCATTTCCTCTCTCGTGGTTATACCGTCATTTCCTCTCTTGCGGTTACACCGCTATTTCCTCTAATTATAACAAAGTTCAATCTATACCCAGCCGGATATGTAATCCGGTCAATTCCAACCGCATAAGTAATCCGAATAACATTTGGCCGGTATAGACATTAAACCGGATGACTCTTGACCGGTTTAGGAGGAATCCGGATGACACTTGGCCAGTTTAGGATGAATCCGGATGACACTTGGCCGGTTTAGGATAAATCCGGTCAACATGTTTAATCAAAATACAGAAACAAAATTCAATCTAATACATATAGAATTTATATATATTTATGGTATAAGAACCACTCACCTTAGCCTTACAATTTTTGATGAAGTATGACTCCTTCTATCCGGAGATTGATAACTCACCCAAGGAGTTTTACTGATTTCAAATTGAGTAAACCTTTCTCAATTCAACTTCCCTTACTATATATAGTAAGATAGCAACAAAAAGGGAGGCGGTGAATAAAAATACAACCGCCACCTCCTCCCCCTCCTTTTATCAACCTTCCCTTAATAATAATAATAAATATAAATTACACTCCCAAAATACATATTGAAAAGAAACAGATAACACACACAGAGGTTAAATTCTCAAAACCCTCATATAACATAATCCAACTCCGATCTTTTTATTGCTGCGCAACTTTAAGGCCTGATCAACTATCCTTTGAAAATTGATTATCACATAACCTTAAATAAATGGTTGGAAAGATTTGTTAATATTTAACATATTTCTATCATCAAAGTCGATATTTTATCTTAACATTACCCTACACCCAAGCTAAGGTTGTCAGCCTATCATCGCTCGGGATCCTTGCATATCTATTTTAAAAACGAGAAAAGAAATCTGCATAGAAAGAAAGTTTTACGACAACTAAAATATAAATAATGGTAAAATATAAATAACGGAAACAAAAATTGGTTTAGTTGGAAATGGAGAAAGAAACGTCATATATATATATATATATATATATATATATATATATATATATATTGATGGAGCAAGGAGAGAAAGGGTGCTGCTGGAAGCCACCCTTCAAAAATATGGTGTCATCTTTCACAAAGCAAAACATTTATTTATATACAAAAGAAAAGAAGCACAAGTTGCCAACTTGCAAACTTCATCTACGGCTGAGCTGCAAGGCTTTCAAAAAGAAGAATTTCCACCGTCCAAATTCATATCACTTGCCCCACTTGATCAAAAAAAGCGGTTGCCTCAAAACTTGAATTTGATGGTGCTGCAATGTGCCGCAGCACTTCCTACAGCCTCTCCTTGAGCATCCTTCCTAAAATTGAGCAATCCACCAAAAAAATCAGTGCTAAAACAAAGTACTTATGATTTTATTTTCTGCTTATCATATTTTTAAGCAAGACAAGATTTAAAACAAAAAAATACTTGATATTTGGACTTTTTGGGGAATTAAAGTAACCAAGAACTACTAAAAATGATGGAAAACATCAACTAAATTGATGCTTATCATGAGAACTAGAGTGCAACCAACTAAACACAGTTATTGGATCTCCTCTGTAGCAAGCTTTGCTGGCCTCGCGCTCCAAACTGACCAATAGGGAAATCCCAATTCATTGGGCCTTTGTTCGCCACCACCCGAGAAGCAAAAGATTATTGAGTCTAGGCTGCCTATCCCTTTGCCGTAAAGCTAAGACAGAACTCAGCTAGGACCGAAGAGAGGATTGCCAACCGGATGAAAGCCGAAGAGAGCATTACCACTTTCATTCCAGTCTTTGCTCAATGCTTCGCTTCTCCCCCTGTAGTCGTAATACTAGGTTCTATTTGCTCGTAGCTCCTGTTTGATCCCAAATAAAGCAAAACAAAAGACAATCGCCTTTTGCCGGCAAGCTAGCCTCGCCTACCTAATGTCTTCAAGTACACTCCATTTAGGAAATAAAGGTGTATGTTGTTCAAGACAAGGACTAGCTGTCTAAATTTGAAAACATATGCATTATTCAAACACACACACACACACACACACATATATATATATATATATGAGTGTGTTTGTATGTATGCATATATGGAATGATGTATATGTAGATATAAACAAAGTAGCATTCACCCAAATAAAGATATGGATGAGAGTACCCTCAGAGAACCGTGTCCCAACAACTATTTGTAATGCCATACAATAGCCAAACCTATACCATGAATCATGTCCATGCATACAGTTGGCTTCAATGCTAAATACACGCAGTTATATGCTTGTCCAAGACATAAATATTATTTTGGTTTCTTCGGGTTTCAGATGGGTTCGGGGGATGGATCAAGAGATCCTATACGATCCGTCTAAATCGATATAAAAGTCGGATGTCAGACCTCAGATTGGTTCAGGATATATGGATTGGGTATGTTTGGTTTTCTTTGGTCGGGTTTTTCGGATAGGGTTGAGTTTTACACCGCCCTAAAAAAAACTGAAAGTAGAATGTTATAATAATTTTTTTTATAAAAGTAAATTATTATTTCACATATTTTGCCATTTCTATATTATCAAAGTTGAGCACCCATTCTCACACTCTTCAATAAATTAAAGGGACCAAAATTAGAGTTACTCTAAAATTAATCTTTCTTTATTAAAGCCTCTGAGATTCAAAATTTTTAACAATGTTCCCTCCTCACTCGCAATCGCAAGTCACAACTTTACCTTGTTTTCATGGATGAATCCAACATGGGCTTTTCGAAAACTAACCGTTCTTCCTTCGTGGCTCTCATCTCTCGCTTCCTCGTCCGGTTTTCCTCCTTCGTCACCACTTTTCATCCTAGATTCAGAACAATTATGCCGTCTGCTGTCCATTTGTGGAAGAGAAGGCTATTTCAAAGTTGGATCTTCAATCCATGGCTCCTTAATCAAGAACCCACTATTCAGTAACCTTGATAACCCTATCCACCATCGATATAACCTTGCCGTTTGGAATTCTCTCCTCTTTCTCTATTCCAAATGTGGGTACTTGTCTGATGCATCCAAACTGTTTGACAAAATGCCAGTGAGAGATGCTGTGTCCTGGAATACAATTATATCCGCGGTTTTCAGGAAAGGTTTGTTTGATGTTGGATTTGATCATTTCAAGACGTTGTATGGTTCTTTTGGTGTTCATCGTTTCGATCGAGGAACCATCACCACCATTTTATCTGTGTGTGAAGGATTGGAGTTCTCTAATGTTCATAAGATGATGCATTCCTTGGTATTTAAACATGGGTACGAGCGGGAAACCACAGTAGCAAATGCTTTAATGACAGCATATTTTGGTAGTGGGCGTTTCTGTTCAGGAAGGCAAGTTTTTATAGAGACCGACAATCGAAATGTAGTTACTTGGACAGCAATGATCTCCGGACTTGCACAAAATCAATATTATGAAGAAAGCTTAAAGGTGTTTGTAAAAATGCTTAAAGGGTCGGTGTCTCCCAATTCATTGACATACTTGAGTTCGATACAGGCATGTTCTGGCTTGCAGGCACTTAAAGAAGGGTGTCAAATACATGGGCTTGTTTTGAAATTGGGTATGCACCTGGATTTGCATATAGAAAGTGCACTTACGGATATGTACTCTAAATGTGGCAGCATGCCACAAGCATGGCAGATTTTCGAGTCTGCTCAAGTTCTTGATGAGGTTTCCATGACGGTGATTCTCGCCGGTTTTGCACAAAATGGTTGTCAGGAAGAAGCTGTTGAGGTATTTGTGAGGATGGTGAAAGAGGGAATCGAGATTGATCCAAACATGGTCTCTGCCATCCTAGCAGTGTTTGGTGCTGAAACGTCCTTGGCTTTCGGTAAGCAAATCCAATCTTTAATCACTAAAAAAGGGTTTTGTTCAAATCCCTTTGTTAGCAATGGGCTAATCAACATGTATTCCAAGTGTGGTGAATTGGAGGAGTCGATCAAAGTCTTTGAAGGAATGCATCAGAAAAATCCAGTCTCGTGGAACTCCATGATTGCTGCTTTCGCTCGTCATGGTAATGCTTCAAAAGCTCTTCAATTATACGAAGAGATGAAACAACAAGGTATTAAACCAACAGACATTACCTTTCTCTCGTTGCTTCATGCTTGTAGTCATGTAGGTTTAGTAAGTAAAGGCATGGTGTTTTTGGAATCCATGGAGAAAGAGTATGCAATTAGTCCAAGAAAGGAGCATCATGCTTGTATAGTTGACATGTTAGGCCGAGCAGGGCTTCTGAATGAAGCCAAAAGTTATATCGAGGGACTGCCCGTAAAGCCTGATGTACAACTTTGGCAAGCACTGTTAGGTGCTTGTAGCATTCATGGTAACTCAGACATGGGGAAGTATGCAGCCACCCAGTTGTCTGTTGCAGCACCAGATAGCCCTGTGCCTTACGTGTTGATGGCCAACATATATTCTTCCAAAGGAAGATGGATAGAGAGAGCTGAAACTATAAAAAGAATGAAAAAGCTAGGGGTGGGAAAGGATACAGGGACAAGTTGGATTGAGTTGGAGAAACAAGTTCATAGCTTTGTTGTTGATGATCGTATGCACCCACAAACAGATGTAATTTTCAGTGTTTTACTAGTGTTATTCAGACATTTGACAGATGAAGGATATGTTCCGAATAAGAGATTCATTCTATGCTGCTGGGATGATGAAATAGCTGCTTCATTGCAAAATCAAGATGAATGAGGTTTCTTTCTTTCTATTCTGCAAATCATAATTTTCTACTCTTTATCTTGTTGAGACAAAAGGGCATGATGCAACAAGTATTACATTGGACATTGTTTTATTTGCAAGAGAATTGAAATACTTTCTGAATTGCATACCAATTTGTTTACATATACACTACTGTTGCATGCACTTGTTAGTAGAGTTGTTGCTTTCTCATCCTCAAATAATACATTTTCTATTCTAGTTTGCAGTTGTTATTGATGATTTTATAGACATTCTGTTCTCCATAGCCTCTTGGTGAAGAGCTGGACAATTGTTTATGAAGATTAGGGTTTTTTTTGCAACTGCAGCATAAGTAGACATGATTTTTTTCCCCTGATAAAGGGGACAAAACCTGTAGGAAAAATCATATTCAAACAAGGAAAAAGTTACGAGTTAAAGGTAGGCATACACATCACACCAATCTAACTGTTTATGCAAAACATGCTTTGGGTAAACGACTAAAAGATACAACAATTCTTTACCAATCATATACACCCGATATTATGAACATGTAAACTAATGGGTTGTTTGGTAAGGGATTAATGAGTTGCATGACATGCATGACTAATTCGATAACCGATGCATGACTGTTTATTTATGGCTTAATAACTCAACATTGACTTATTCGCTCAGCCCATGAGGGTGAGCTTAATTGATGAACCAGTGATTTTTCCCATCCCTGCCCTTCTCAAAAGACGCTCTTCTCCGCCCCCTGCTGCTGCCTTGTTTGTTTCTTCAGAACGGTATTTGTGCTTCTTTCTTTGTTTCTTTTTTCTCTTGTGGATCTGTGTGCTACCTTCTCCCTTTTTTTTCATATTTACTGGAGTTAAGAAACTAGGGTTACCCTATATTCTACATAGTATTGATTTTATCCATTTTCTGGTGATTGTTTTAGGAAATTGGAAAACTGAAATTGTAATCAAATGAAGGCAATTCAGTTGCATGTAACTTTTAGGTATCAAATTCTGGGTTAGCTCTATATCAAATATAGCTGTGACTTCTGTAGGAATTTAACATTGCAATTAAAACATATCTGTTGTCTTGTACTAAGAAAAACTAATAATGGCTACTTGATCTGTCTGCTACTGTTTGTGATCGACTGAAATGTGTTTTCGAACAAGAAATCAATATCATTTTTTGCATATTTTCATCATTTCAATATAAACTTTACAATCAAAGCTCTCCTGCATATTGGGATAGATTAAACGAATAAAAAAAGCAAATATAATAACTTGACATATCACTTTATGGCCTCAAACAGTCCCCTCGGGCATGTTCAAATCAATTTCTAAAGGTCATGAATATATCCAAGACCAAACCGATCATATCCTGGAAAGGGAAAACTGACGTTCTTGTTTCTGTATCTTAGCCACTCTACGCTCCCAACTTTGAAACTTGTTTCCAAAGATTGATTCTTTCTTATCAAGTGTGCATGAGCGAACTGTAAATGGTATGAAACCGAATTGATATTATATAAGGTGTAATTACAAGACTAGATGAGCCCTCTATTTATAGGATTAGAGAGGGACTAATAAGCAATAATAAATTACATACAGATCCCTAAGCTATAGCTATTTACAACTAACACTCCTCCTCAAGTAGGAGCATAGATGTTAATCATGCCCAACTTGTTACATATGAAGTCTATTTGAGTCTTCCGRAGTGGTTTTGTGAAGATATCTGCTAGTTGGAACTCTGTTTTAACATGAATTGGCTGGATAGATGGAGGATCCTTTTGGGTGCCGACTACCCGATCTCTRATTAGGTGACAATCAACTTCAATGTGTTTAGTTCTCTCATGGAATACTTGATTTTTAGCTATATGTATAGCCGATTGATTATCACAGTATAATCGCATCAAGTCTTCAGAGA